AAAAATTTCCAAAAGTGTCCACAATTTCGGCCACTACTGTATATAATATTATAAGCTATGTTCACAAATAGTTAAATTAGTTTATGGATGATAGGAAAAATGTAGCCCAAACTCTGAGGTTAAGATATAAACTCAGAAAAATATATTGTCAAGGAATTTTATTTTGATTAAACTCATCAAGTAAATTTTATTTTTTTAAATTTATATCTTCAGTTGTAGTGAAAAATAATGTTCAGTGAACTTTAATTGTTGCACTTGAACGAAACATTAAGAAGAATTACATCTGTCTAATTTTCCAACGTTTTTAGCATCAAAATTTTTTATACATTATAGGTCTTTAAGCAGTGTGGTCTTGAAATCGTTACGACTTTGACGGCTGTCATAATTCTCTAAACTATTCCAGATTTGTATGTATACTTGCCTTTGCCATGAATAACTCTTAAAAAAGCATTGATGTTTCCTACAAAACGACTCTGTGATCGAGTTTAGCAACTTCAGATTTAGATAAATGTGCATATTAATTACTTTACTCATCAAATTAAGCATTTCGAAAAACTAATAACTAAATAGTGACATCAAGAAATGATATGGTTCACTCCAAGATATGGAAAAGCCCAGCGTTATGCGACAACAGATTAACAAGACACCATACTGTGTAAAAAGTGATTCAAAAAGGCTAAAATCTCTGTTTGGAAATTAAAATGAATTTGGAAATTCGAAAATCAGTCATCTTTATTAAAATTGATTTTACTGAAAAGATAAAAATAAAATATTTGATAGCGAACAAGAAAGGAATGGGTTACTTTTAGAGATTCAAACAGTTTTTGCTATTTGGGATTGGAGCAACGCCAGTACAAAATATTTAATTTTGAAAAATGTGACCCCCCTCCCCTGATTTGGAGATGAGACCTTTTTTATGCAAAATGAAAATGGCTCATTTTTGAACTCATAATTTTCAAAAGGAATTTTTTTTTGAATAATACATGTTCCAAAAATAAATTTTTTTCCTATTAAATAAATTTCGACATCTTCCATTTCAAAATACCTATTTTTTCTTTTAAAAAATAAAGATTATAATATACGTTTTTAGCTATAAGGAAAAGGTTACATTTTTATTTTTATAGCAATTGTTATTTCTAAACTAAAGAAAAAGTGTCACATGGAAGAATTTTTAAAAACGCATGCAAACGCATGCAGTTCTGTGCTACATAAAATTAATACTTCTTTACTGCCGTACTTACAAAAGTGGGAGAGAAAGAATTTTATACATATATATTTGTAACTCTCATAATATGTCACAAATAAGTACGTCTTTTTTTCCTTATTCTTTTTTTTTTCTTTTCCTTTCCACTTTTAGAAATCCTTGTTAATATAAATAACAGGTCATTGATAAATTTCCTAACCGAATTTAAAAATTTCACTTTCAATGTACAGCAGAAGTTTTTAAAATTTCACAGTTAATAGAAATAAATTTTTGATAAATATGTTTTCGTTTTTGATAGTTTAGTCACTTTAAGGAAATACTTTCGGTGCAATGCAATTTTTAATTAATACATAATCCACCATCGAGCAGAAATACTTCGATATCATATCTTGGACAGGGCATATTCTAAAAACAGAAATTTTGAAAAGTAGGATTGAATACAATACGTACAAGAATGATTGTATTTCATTATAAAATATGAATCTGATTTTAAAACAGTGTTCTCAAACTCATATTACATGCGAGCCGATTGTACAATCTATTGGTCAGAATTTTTTTTTTAACAAGAGAAAAAAAAATGTAATAAATTTTACATTTTGTTTACAAAATATTTATCAAAACACTTGTAGATAATAATTATAATGCTGGGAAGGAAAATAATTCAAATTTATATCTATTTTGTATTAGATATTTAAAATTTGGTACGTAAAAGCCATTTTTGTCGGTTATACTCTGTTATTCAAATACATTAGAAGTTTATTATGGTTGTTTTATCTTTAATAACCTACCTTAAATTAAAAATAAATAAATTATGGAAAACAACAAACTTGAGTAAACAAGCATGTATATCTATCTACATTTCCTTTTTCGGGCTTCAATTTTAAATGCTTCTGGTTTAATTCAAATACAATTCTACTAACTTTATGTAAGGACATGATATACTCAGTATTAAATCAGTCAATAAATAGTTATTTTATTACTTTGCAGCTATTGCGCAAGCATTAGGAAACTTATTTCGATATTTCAATGTATTTCAATTAATTCATTCTATGTATCTTCTATGTATAGGTACAAAACTTGAGTAAATTATGGCAACATAATTTCTTTCTCTTATTTATTAAATTTTCCTTCGACGCATAAATAAAAATACGTGTATGTAATAAAATAATTGTAAACTTCATTTTTTATAACATAATATGCACTTGATCGCGTTTCGGCTTGGATAAAGTTCGTAGCATTGGAGAGAACTGACTAGAAATTATCTTCATCCCGGATTGTAAATATTTTTTTTTTTTTTTTTTTTTGTCAATCGGGTTCGTTTCTTATTAATTTTCAACTACTGAAAAAAGCTGCTCACCTAAAAATATACTTCCAAACAAAGCGATAATTCTTAGTGCAAAATTTGTAATTGAGTATCTGTGTTTTTCTCACAGATACAAATAAAAATTAATAAATTAATAAAACCTGTATTATCAAATTTTCGAATAAGATTTATATCACACTGTAAAGAAATTAGCTCCATTTACTCGGTTTTCAAATAACTGAAACTTTGAAATTTTTGCAACAGAGACATAACTGAAATGTATCCTTGGATTGAAAAATTCGTGGATCTAGATAAATAAAATCGAAGATCGATCTTAGAGATCGAAAAATTTTGAATTATAAAGTAAAGGAAACGTAGAGTTTTCGAATTCACAAATTCAATTAGTAAATTACTGTAAGCACTTCAGTGAGATTTTGCAAGCACATCACCTTGAAACAAATTGTATAAAATTGTTGATTACATGTGTCGATGGCATTCAAAAATATATGTTTATTGAAAACTATAGTACTGGAATGCTGATGATGATGGAGTTCCACGGCTTTCTTTGCAGACAACGAACAGACGAGCCGGCCAAATCTGCACCAACTGCGGCACGACGACGACAACTCTCTGGAGACGGAACAACCACGGGGAACCAGTATGCAACGCTTGCGGCCTCTACTTCAAACTTCATGGGGTAAGTTCTGAGATTTTCTTGGTCAATAAGTCAGTTGACTGACTGTTTACGACTTACCAGTATGCTGTTTAATTAAGGCGCCATAAATGTTTAAAAATCGAGTAAAATAATAATAATTCTATAATTTAATTTTGCCGTAACTTTAATAATTCTAGAATAATTTGTTTGCGGTAATACTAATTCTAATTTTCCATTTCTTACTGCAGCTAATTATTTTAAATAAACCTAATATGATTAATGTAGAACATTCGAAAAATGATAATTTTGTTTATTTCTGATCAGTAATAATTAATTCTTCAATTCTGACCAATAATAATTCTTTATACAGATCAGTAAAAATTCTGTAAATAATAATATAAGTAATTTATATGTATATCAGTAATAATTCTACATATATATAGATTCTGATCAGTAATAGTTCTAAATATAATGTAATAATTTTAATAATTCTTATTAGTCATAATTATGTAATAGATAAGTAATTCTATAAGTCAAATCAGTAATAATAATTCTTTAATTTAACTCTTGCAGTTCATTGCTTATAAAAATGACAATGATGAAAACAATAATTCTGTAGTTTAATATTTAACATCTTAATCAATATGTGGATTGATTAATAATTCATCATTTGCTTATGTATTGTTTGATTAAAGCAAGAATAAATGTTTAGAACGCTCAAAATTGCATGAAATAAATGATGATAATCATGATTATAGTCATAATAAACAATGAATATATATAATAATATGCATGAAATGATAAATCATGCTAATACGCATGAATGTTTAATATATATGAATAAAAGATGATAATATGCATCAAATAATAAATGACGGTTACTCAAACTAATTTGAAGGGGGGAAAAATTCTCATCCCACTATACTTAAAAAATATAAACATTTATAACTGATTTTTTACTGTAATTATGCCATCCAGGAATATTAAGAACGTTTTTAAATTCTGTATATAGAAATTTTTGTAAAATTTTACCTACTGATTCTCGTAATTGTTTAATTGTTCTAACGATTGTTTCAAATCTCAATGCTTGCCTTTATTGTCCTAATCGTTATCCAGTTGTCTAATTTGGCCAACTGTTACTTCTTCTTCACCATGTTATAGTTTTATTTACACAAGAAAATGTCGGATAAATATTTTATTGACTTATTTATGCAGACGAAATTTTTCAACAATATAATGAATTCCATTTTAATCCAGTTGGAAAATTTAGCCTGCGTTTGTATACTAAAGCCTCCGAAATATTTATTCAACATAATACTAATATTATATAAGAAATCTAGAATATTATATGAGAAACATATAACATTCTAGAACATGTCGAAAAAATATTAGCTCTTTTCTTTTGCTTTACTTAGGTTCTGGTTACAAACTTATGGCAATTCATAATTTGATTTTATAATTATTTGTTAATGTTATCGTTATCGTTATTTAAAAATTAAAAAAAAAATAGAACATAAAGGTAATGGTTTAACTACAAGTGCACGTTATGAATTTCGCTTTTTGAAAACTTAGGTTAAAAATATTCTTCAAAGTCCTCCTTTTTAGAATTAGTAATGTAAATGATTCTACGTACTTTATTAAGAATAAAATAAATTTTGCGAATTTCTATTCAAAGTTATCTAGTTTTCTGCAGTTTTTTACTGTTGAAAAATATATGAGAAAGAAATCAGTAATATCTTTTTTAGAAATCGACTTTTTAAATTTTAAAATCTTGGAAATCAGAAAATGATGTAGATTTTAGATCGGAAAATTTTTTGGATAAGAAAAATTCCTGCAAGCTGATCAGAATTGAATTCTGATACGTTATCAGCAAATATCGTGCTTGAAGTATTTGTAAACAAGCAGGCTTGCTAGAATCAAAACAAATTGATTGCACGGAAAAGACTATACTGGACTTACTTTTTGTTTCATTTTTTTTATGCTTTAAAAATATTTGATCTTAGCTTATTTTTTTTTTCTGTTAGTAAACATAATTTTTTTTTTTTCAGTTAAATACAGATTTTTAGTTCATTCTATCACAGAAGAGAACTTTTAGTTTTTCAGCTAGCAACACTGTTAAGAGAGATGAAACAGCTACGCATGGGCACTTGAGTTTTGTTAAAGGAATTTTACACAGCATATTACTTTCAATGCATGAACATTTTCAAATTCCCACTTCCCCAAATGGAAGGGGATATTTATCTGGAAACAGCATTTTGCGTTGAATCACTATAAACGGCGTATAACTTTTGAAATTGTTGCCATCAAATACTATCGCCTATATTATCTTTAGAAACATTAAGTAATGAAGAATATGCATCTATGTATGTAAGTTCCTCGTACTGTGAAAAAAATGTCGGTACCAAGAGCCCTTAAATATTGAATAACGTTGTCCTCCATCCGAACATGTGCACCTGGAAGCCTGGATTTTAATTTCGAATTTGTTTTTTATTTATTTCATATTTTGTAAAACTTTAAAAAAATTTTGATCAACAAACTCAGGATTTCAAAACTAGCAGTGGCAACATTATACGGAATAAAACATTTTTATTTCTAGCGCGGCAGGCAGTCTGACGGAAATTCTAAAGATATATTGTTTTTAAATACAAGTATTTTGTAATTTTGCTGTTGAATCGAATTTTATGTGGCGTCAGCGCTGAGAACGTAAGATTTAATAATTAAGTTAATGAAATAAGACGTTAATAATAATAGTAATAAATGTAGTTTTGCTGTTGAATTGTATATGGCGTAATTGCAAAGAAAATGGTGCTTAGTAATAAGGCTAGCAGGAGTGTGTACAACAGCAGATTGGTAGACCGCGAGCTCAGCGAGAGCGCAAAAAACTGTAACAAATCTTTTTGGGCGATTGTTAAAATCTGAAAACCTTCAGAGTTTTGCAATTGTTAATATTATTTTGCCGTTATGTAAAATGTATTGAAAGATTTTTTTAAATGAAAAACACACATTTGTAGCTCTTAAATATTTCCTAAATGATTTTTATTTGGAAAACACTTCTCACAACTAGCAACACTTACAGCGATACAAAATTTGGAATGTCGTTCTTGGGATTGTATTTTAGAATACACTGCAAAAATTCAAAATGACTGCTGTTGTGGATTTCGATTTGCCTAGCAGTAACGAAAATAAAACTCTGAAATACTCCTTTCATAATAAGAAATTCTTCCTTATAAAAGTTATTCTGATCATAGTTCAGAATATTCCTGAAAATACTCTGAACTTTTCATTTTTCATGTATTCACATTGCTGTATCCATCACCCCCTCCCCCAAGAATTCTATTTCAGCCCTAGAAAAGGGGGCAAGGTTCTATATGTGTCATTTTCTTTGCTTAAATCTGTATCCTAATTAACTTAACTATATCCTAATTAATTTTATTTATTAAAAATGTTTTTTTAAAAAAAATGTAAATTTGTAAAGTTAATTTTATCTAGTTCGCATTCAACTTGCTAAACCTTATTATGCTCAGGTAATCGTCATCGTCATATCAGACTGTTTTGGTCAATGATCATTTCGGGTATAAACAGAGCTAGAATCTCTAGCTAAATGTTGGAATTAATATTTTTCTACAAATATAAATGTAGTGCTTTAATTTATCTCCCTCTTTGTCGTTTTGGTATTTTTTGTAGTTATTTGTCTATACATCAAGAGGTTCAGGAAATTCAAGAACCGCCCCAGGCGGCCAAAGTTCTATTTATGCCTCTTGCTTGCCTATCTGAAATTATAACAGAAGAGGCAAGAAAGCATGTAGAGACGTTAGGTATTTTTTGAAAAGCAAGAGAGATGAAAAATGAGCAACGCCTTCGCCGGAAATTGAACCACGGATCTCTAGAATACGCGCCGAGCGTACAGACCACCACATCACGAAGGCATGCCAAGAAGGTGTGTATATACTACCCCTTTTAAAGGGCCAGTGGGGTTTTAGTGGACCCATTCGCCAAATCCTGGGTGCGGAGAATCATCATCCGCCACCTTTTTAATTCGGACGCCACTGTAGAGACATTAGGTATTTTTGGGAAGCAGCAGAGATGAAAAATGAGCACCACCTTCACTGGGAATCAAACCACGGTCCTCTGGAATCCGCGCCCAGCGTGCAAACCCCCACACCACGAAGCCGGGAGAAATACTTTATAAGCAATTGACAAAAAAATATCATGCTTGTTTAAGGAACGAAGTAAAAATTGAGGGATATAGTAAAAACACTAAATTTACTCAGTTTTATTCATAAAAAGTGTGTGAAATCGCAGATTGTGTTATAATTGAAACGAGAGGGCATTTATCGATCTGGTTAAAGAGATAATAAAATAAAAGAAATAAAATCTGAAAGGATTCAGAATTTAACGTAGCGTTTGTGTAAAATATGAAATAATTTTTAAAAAAATTCGAGGTGTTCTTGTTCGGGTGGAGAAAAACATACTGAATAGAGGATGGTCCGAATCTAAGTGTCATCGCGTTCCCACAATGCGAGGAACATACGTACATACATATATACATACACACATGCATACATACAGATTCTTCATTACTTAATTATTTTTAATAACACATCTCGATAACATCTGGTGGCAAGAATTTAAAAAATGGTTCAGGCATTGGGTTCATTTAAAAAATGGTTACATATTCAAGCGGCTATCTCTCTCACTTTCGAAATGAATTACAAAATGGAAACTTTTGTTGTTATGATACTTTTCGGAGTTTTCCTCTAGCGAACAAAGTACGGCCGTCCGATTTTAATCGATAAGCAGCATTGATCCCTCTATCAGATGACACATGATGGATTCTTTCGTTAAATAGTATTCAGCCGCTGATATGAAACATAAACTACACGTAAATCAACTCCACGGGTCCACAACATCCTGTCCTCAGTCATCGATAAAGTGGAAAAATTCACGATAAGGCCACAAAAAGATCGCTGACATTCTTCATTTAGTGCAGAGTTCCTCCTCGTCTTCTTTGTTTTCCAGTCCAAAATATATTGTTCTGCAAG